AACAAATTAACTTATAATTAAGTGGCAATTGCCCAGTGACTTGAGCACTGTACACTGACAGAAAGAAAGAGAAAAAGACACTCGAACACTCGGCCAAATGGCTTCACAGCGGGATTCATCGGCGACAGCAGCAGCAACGGCGGCGGCGGCGGCAACCGGTGCACAAGTCGGCAGCCACTCTAACCAACCAACTTCTAACCTCAACCTCAAGCAAAAGGATCGGGATCGTTTTGATCACGGAAAAAGTTGATAAGCTTTTTGAGGAACGACAGCAAACCTTCTGAGTTGGACTCGGACAATGGACCACATCAACGACGACGACGAGGACGACAACATCAGCACACAGCTGTTTAAGAGTGCAGCAACAAGTGTTGCTTGTAATGATAGTGCTGCTGCTGCTGATGCTGCCAACAAGAACAGAAATGAGGATGAGGATGCTCTATTGGCGGTGATGGTAGTTCGATGACGGCTCCAAGCTGCGACTACCCAAGGAGGAGGAAGAGAGGCTGCTAAGAGGCAATCGGCCTCTCTCACTCAGTCGGCGATCGAAGCGATGCGTGCCACCACCACCAAAAAGAAAAAGAAGAAGATGCCGGCCGACCAGTAGAAGAAGCCGAAAGGACAGAAAGAGAGGGAAGAGATTTGTTTGCTGGCCACACAGAAAGAATCAAGTGGTAGAGAAGACAGACAGACAGGTAGACCAGTGAGTGTGTGTAAGTGGTAGACAGAAGTGCCAAAGTGAACACACACACACACTTTGAGCTGACACGAGCTGCTGCTGCTGCTGCTGCTAGCATCGATCGCCTCAATCACCAGTGCCTGCACCTTAGTAGTACACGATGGAGGCAACGGCAACAGCAGCAACAGCAGCAGCCGATCTTCATCGTTCGTGACCGTCCGTGAGCGTCATGAATGCTAAGCAGCACCTCTGGATCGATGTGAACACTGCAGCACTGCAAACGGCAAAACATGCACTGCTTTTTTCGCTATTATTTAGCAATCTCATGCTCGCCGAGTGGAAGTAGAACCTCACACACAGTCATTCACTGTTTGTAAGTTAGAGGGAGTAGAAAATACACTGGAAAAAGCAGTGCACACTGGTGTCGTGTCGTACTGTTTTTGTCTCTTCAGCTGAAAGGAAGCTACCTGTGGCCTGTGTGACCCGGGTGGGCAGCAGCAGCCGTCCGGAATCTCTTCGTCGGTGGCGGCAACAAACACAGACAAAAAAAGCATAGAAAAGAAAGCAAAGCATACGCTTCTTTGCCGCAAAGCAAAGCAAACAAACGCAGCAGCAGTACAAAGAAACACAAAAAAAGAAGCACATTCTGCGTGCTGTCTAATTAATTAATTATTGGATAAAGGAAAAAAGAAACATCAAACTATTTAAGATTTAATGCCACGTTCAAAAAAAGAAGAAGAATCAAACAGGTGCACCACTGCAGTGCTGTTAGGCAATAGCAGGNGAAGAACATTCTGCGTGCTGTCTAATTAATTAATTATTAGATAAATGAAAAAAGAAGCATCAAACTATTTAAGATTTAATGCCACGTTCAAAAAAAAAGAAGAATCAAACAGGTGCACCACTGCAGTGCTGTTAGGCAATAGCAGGCTTTAGAAGTGGCTAAACGTGTGCTCATTGTGAGCCTGTGTGCCACCGCAAAGCATTCACTGGGCCCTAGCTAACTTTTTGCTCTCTCTCTCCTCGACCCCGACCACCACCACCACCACCCGTGCAACAATTGGATTAGCTCTCATTTTGCGTAAAAGTCTCAGCAGTGATTTCCCTCTCTCTTTCTTTCTTTGTAAAACTGACAGCAGCAGCAGCTGGAGAGAAGCAGATCAGTTTTGTGTCAGTCTTTCTGTTATTGGACCAGGCAGGCAGGCAGCAAGCAGGCACTCTGCTCTCACTGAATGCAAGACAATTCCCGCAATCCGATTACGTGCAACGAAAGCAGCAGCAGCAGCAGCNCTCGACCCCGACCACCACCACCACCACCCGTGCAACAATTGGATTAGCTCTCATTTTGCGTAAAAGTCTCAGCAGTGATTTCCCTCTCTCTTTCTTTCTTTGTAAAACTGACAGCAGCAGCAGCTGGAGAGAAGCAGATCAGTTTTGTGTCAGTCTTTCTGTTATTGGACCAGGCAGGCAGGCAGCAAGCAGGCACTCTGCTCTCACTGAATGCAAGACAATTCCCGCAATCCGATTACGTGCAACGAAAGCAGCAGCAGCAGCAGCAGCAGCAGTAAAAGATCGCCTTGCAAATCGATTGACAACTGTGTGTGCTCGGTGTGTTTGTCGCGGCTAATGAATCGAATGAATCAACTGCTGGCTAGTTGCGAGCTACCACTAACTCAATCTTATTTTTTCGTTGTTTGTTTCTCTACCTACTTGCTCGGAAAATTGGCTCAAATAAAATAAACCAGTCAAAGTCCTGATCAAAGTCCAAAACTAACATACGAGAACAAACTCTCTCTTTCTCTCTCTCTCTTTCTTTCTTAAGGAGGAGGTGTCCACTTACGGTCACTCTTGTCCCCGGCGAGGATGCCCTCGATGGAGTGCTTGTGCTGTCCTTTGTGTCCGCCACCACCGCCNCCAGTCAAAGTCCTGATCAAAGTCCAAAGCTAACATGCGAGAACAAACTCTCTCTTTCTCTCTCTCTCTCTTTCTTTCTTAAGGAGGAGGTGTCCACTTACGGTCACTCTTGTCCCCGGCGAGGATGCCCTCGATGGAGTGCTTGTGCTGTCCTTTGTGTCCGCCACCACCGCCACCTCCGCCTCCGCCCATTCCTCCTCCCGGGCCATGACCGTCCATTCCGCCGTCACCCCTCATCGATCCATTCGGTCCCCTGAGCAGGCGGCTGATGGAGCTGACGGAGGGGGCGGTGGTGCGGTCGCAGAGACCCTCCTTGATGAGGCGGTCGCGAATCTCCCAGGAAAAGATACCTGGATTCTCCTTGCGGTAGTCTTCGATGCGCTTCTCGATGTCCGGGGTGGCCACACGGGGCTTGCTGCCGCCGATGACGCCAGGGCGGATGGAGCCCGTTTCCTAAAGAGGAACAAATAAGATGATTTTTGTTAGAAAAAGAAGTTGAAGATATTTAAAGTTTCCTTTTTTGCTATCGTTACGAATGCAGGCTAAACACAGGCTAGCAGCACTTGAAGCACTGCACGGTAATATTTCCCGCGCTACTAAACCGCCGCTGCAGCCGCAGCCTTTGTCGCTAATCCTGTCAACGGCGATCGGGCATACTTATTATATTATATTATCCTTGGCTGTTTGTTGCAAGGCCAAATCGGCGACATTTGACATAGTCTACAGACGTATCTGCCCTAATAAAGCTGCTGCGGTTACCGCCAGTCTTTCAATTCAATTCAGCTCAGCTCAGTGCTCAATGCTGCTCAATGGCCAATTGAGCTCAATTTACCTCGGCTAATCGCTTTACTAATTTCTTTCTTTCTAGTTTTTATACCTTCTACCGTTTTAGCTGCAACATTAACTGCAACAGTTAGTGGCGTATTAAATTGTCAACATTGAGCCGATTTAAACGACAGCGGCGGAAATTTATCGCTACCTCTACTGCTACTATTACCACCACTGAAGCCGACATCGACAATGGCCCACTGAATTAGATCACTACCACCACCGCCAGAGGCTGAACCGAAGAGGCTGAACTGATCTGATTTAAAACTGATCTGAACTGACTCAATGGGCAACCAAATTGAGCGCCAAATTGAAGTCGAAATTGAGCTGTTCGAAATTGTGCACTGTCTATTGTTCGGCTTATTTGTTCGCGAGCCCTATCTGACCTAGCTTTTATGCTGAAATGCTCAAATCACATGCTTAACTTTTTTTTACCTGGTACCGGTTGAGAATCTTGGAGACGCAGCCGTGGCTGACGCGCAGTTGGCGACTGATGACGCAGGGGCGGACGCCGGCGGCGGCCAGCTCCACGATCTTCAGGCGAATGTGGTTCGGCAGTGGTCGGCCGTTGATGAAGACGCCGCCGAGCTGGTTCACTCGCCCCTGGCCTATATAAGAAGGGAGAGAAGGAAAACATTAGGTTCCGTTAGTTAGCTGGAAAAAGTTCTTCTGATTTGCTTAGTCTCTCTCTCTCTCTCTCTCTCTCTCTCTCTCTCTCTCTCTCTCTCNAACTCGCCCCTGGCCTATAAAAGAAGGGAAAGAAGGAAAACATTAGGTTCCGTTAGTTAGCTGGAAAAAGTTCTTCTGATTTGCTTAGTCTCTCTCTCTCTCACTCATTTCAGCCAATTAGCCCCTGACCATACATCACTGCTGTGTTTTGCATTCTCTGTGTCTGCCCTTCTGTGTTTTCTTCTAAGTTTGATGTCGCGCCGACAAAGAAAGAGAAAAAGAGAAAAGAAGGGAGAAAGGAATCAAAAGGAGCGGAAGCCGGCAAAGCAGCACGCACCAGTTGGGTGCGCTATAGATGAAAAGGAAAATGCAAATGCAAGAAGAGGCGATTCCATGTGCTTGTGTTTCCGAGAAGTGAACTGGCTTTTACGGCGGCAATTTTCTAAACCAACTGTTCCTATTGCAACAGCAGGCAACAACAACTGGCTGGTTAGAGCTCAGAAGAAGAAAAAGCTCAGAAGAAGAAAACCTAAAGATTCATTGTGCCCTCATAAGTAAGCTTTTCGATGGTGGTTGCAATATTGGCTTCTTCAGTTTCTTCTTCTTCTGTACTCTATCTTTTCTGTGTGCATTTGGTCTTCAGCTGCCGTCTGTCTGTTGTCGTTGTCTCTCTTTCTCTCTTTCTCTACAATTGCCTATCCCTTTTCGTGCAACTGGTAATTAATACAGCTGTACTACTGATTCGCTGCTGCCTATGTTGATGCTGTGTGTGCCCTTTGCGTCCATATGNTTTCGATGGTGGTTGCAATATTGGCTTCTTCAGCTTCTTCTTCTTCTGTACTCTATCTTTTCTGTGTGCATTTGGTCTTCAGCTGCCGTCTGTCTGTTGTCGTTGTCTCTCTTTCTCTTTCTCTACAATTGCCTATCCCTTTTCGTGCAACTGGTAATTAAT